CGACGAGGTGTTCGCTGGTCTCAATATCTTTCTTATCGGGGACGTCCGCCAACTGCCCCCGGTAGGAGACTCTCCGTTGTACTCCGCTAGGCGGATGGCCGGCAAGATGGTCTACAGGACTTTCAAACAGGACTTTCAATAAGTCCTTTATCCTATCCGTGTCCCAGCGACCGGCCGACGTCACCTTCCGTGTCGCACTCGACCGGCTGACAAGGAGACTGAGGTAAGTGTAAATTCCCGATTCGGTTCAAACTCGGTATATTTGCTTCTTAACAACATAGATGACTATTGCGCGTCAAAATTTGTGCTGAAGTTCATATGTCAAAACTCCCTTTAGGGGCCTATACGGGCCTATAATTCCCAAAAAATAAAAATTTCATGTTAACATTTTTTTAAAGCGATATTCCGACTCAGAATGTGCGGTTGTGGGGGGGTAGTTCCTCTTCCATTTTTCGATTTGAGACCGCCTTCCATGAGTTTATGTCGAATTTCTAAACTTTTTCTATAAAACGCTCCTACACTGGAAATGCAAGTGTGTGAATGTCGCTCACCTGCAGGTGAGCGACATTCCATTCGTACACTTACGGGGGTAAAGGTGTGAATTTTTCACACGTTAACCCCCCGAAGTGTACGAATGGAATGTCACTCACCTGCAGGTGAGCGACATTCACACACTTGCATTTCCAGTGTAGAAAGTACCGGGTGTAACTGAGAATGCGCAACAGTATTGCGGGTTTGCCTACCCAGTTAGCCCGTAAGGCGCCATGGCCCCTGCAGCCCTGGCGGGTATGCAATCCCGCAACACTGTTGCGCATTCTCAGTTACACCCGGTACCCCGGGATGTGAACTTCAGCACAAAATTCGACCGTCGTTCGTCATCTACATGGTCAAGAAGCAAATATACCGAGTTTGAACCGAATCGGGAATTTACACTTACCTAAGGCTCCTTGTGAGTGTTGGCATGACCACGGCGGCCGACTACGCCAGGTTTGGAGAGCGCTTCAAACTGAACGTCCCCGTGGCTCCAGCAGCTTCTTGAACTCCTGGGGCTTTCCAATTCCCCTGGAGCTGGACAGCCCCGTGGCGCGTCTGCCCGCCAAGCACAACAACGCGACGGCCAAGCGCGGGTCCGCTGACGACGCGGCCGGCCTGGAGCCCGTCGTGTACCTCGCCAAGGGCGCCAGGGTCATGCTGCGCAGCAACATGTGGCTCGAGACGGGTCTCGTGAACGGCGCCACCGGCACAGTGGTAGACATCGTCTACCAGCCGGGCCGAGCCCAGCCAGAGGACCTCCCCACCGTGGTGATGGTCAAGTTCGACAACTACACCGGCCCCACCGTGGCCGACGGCTTGGTACCCGTGCCCACGCTGGTGCACTCGTGGGACCATGAGCAGGTCGCCTGCAGCCGAGAGCAGGTTTCGCTGTGTCTGGCCTGGGCTGTCACAGAGCACAAGTCCCAGGGCCTCACTCTGGACCGTGCCGTGGTCAGTGTGGGCCTCAGGGACTTTGCAGTGGGTCTGATGTACGTTGCGATGTCCCGTGTCAAGTCCTGGGCGGGACTCTTAATCGACCCCGAGTTCGGTCTCAACCTAATTTTGGACATCCGGAACAGTCCGGGGTTCCTGGATCGTGAGGCCGGCGAAAGAGCGATTGTCAGGAACAGCCGGTAAGTTGCAGTCCTGTAAATCGTTCTAAAGGTTGCGGCCCGCGCATGCGGTGCTAAGAAAACAATTGGCCTGCTTGCAGTGCTGTAAAACTAAGTACGAACCGGCCCGCAATACGGTGCTCTGAAAACGATTGCCTGCTCTGCAGTGTGTAAAACAAAGTAAAACGTACGTCGTCCCGCAACGCGGTGCTCTGAAAACGATAGCCTGCTCTGCAGTGTGTAAAACAAAGTAATACGTACGTCGGCCCGCAACGCGGTGCTCTGAAAACATTGGCCTGTTTACCAGTGCTGTAAAAACCAACTTAGAATTTCGAATTTAGTTCCCTCCTTCCCTTCTTTTACTGCGACCGCGCACCCCCTGTCCATCATTACCAACCTGACCCTATACAGATTGTTGTATTAGGGATTCGATTGATCTTACCAGTGACCTTACTTTGTGAACTAAGATAATAAACAAATTAAACCTACATTGCCATTTTCAATGCTTTTATAATTATTACTTTGTGTAACACAAAAGTTAATGTTTGTAGGTCAAAGTTGGTAATCAATAAAAAGTGTGTCGTCCTAATAGGGACTAATGACTTCCTAAAGGTAAATATTAGTACCATTAATGATTGAGTGAGGAAAAATATAAATATAAAACAACTTTAATTTTTAAAAATTTCAGTCTGTGCCAAGAGATAAAACTTAAGAGGCAGTAGAGAATGTGTTGACACACTTGTCAGACATTGCTATACAAGTAATTGTTATGACCATCCCGCCCATCTCCAAGTTAGCTGCAACAAATGCAAATCACTTAGAGGAGTAAAAGTCTCTAAATGACCATATAAAAGCCTGCACTACCAACAAAGGTATGTAAATTTTACCAACTTAATCAAATCTAAAACTCTTGTTTAGCCAGACATTGTTTTGACGTTTAGCTCATATGTATCTCAGATAATGTGCTTGTGTTTGACGCACAAAATATCTTCATGAGTGGAGCTGCCTCAAATCAGGCTCTGTTTCTAAAGTATGCATATTTCAATATTAGGTATATCATGATTTGTATATTTGCCATAATCTTATCTAACTATATTTTGGTTTTTCCAGGGTTTTTAGAAGTGGGAAAGAACAACATACATCCCAATGCTGCAGGAAACATTGCTTTGAGCAATGGTCTTTCACAGTTTATAGACAACATAGGCGTCCAAGAAGATGATGAAGCAATGGCTCAAGGCGGATCCTAAATGTATTAGATTCTAATACAATGGCCAATAGCAATCTTCTGGCA